CGCTAGCGTAAGGTTCCAAACGTAATTAGCGACGCCCGTTGTCCGATTCCATAAAAGGTCCAGACAATGAATGTTCAAATGTGTAGTTTGAAACGTAGTTTCTGGAAACCTGAAACAGTGTTTATTGGAATCGAGCTAATCAACGATGGTACGTGTGACAGAATTCGAGAATGGATGAAAGTTGGTAGTGGAAATGGAAATATTAAATGAAGACGCGGTTTGATTGAGAACAAGGTAATCTTGAGTGCTATTAAAGGTATGACGGTGGTCTTCACTTCCCGGCTGACCACATATTATAAAATAATTACCTTTGAGAGACCTAAAAAAGTGGCCCACGTGTCATCTTGGTGACCTAGCAGTATGATAGCGTCAGTCAGTCAGTAACAACGTAGAACTTCGTACGTACGTACATCAGTTCGAGTTGCCACACCACATTAGCACAGAGATGCACTTGTCGATTCAAATCCCGTAGTGGTAGAGGTAATAAGAGTATAAGCAGTAATCGGGAAGATTAGGGTTTGGAGATGTTATTTAAAGAGTATAATCCAGTGAAAGAAATTTGGAAAGAGGAAAAAAAGGGACATGAAGAATTCAGAAGATTAGAATTTGGGAGAACACAGAGAGTGGATGCACCTGCGCCATTGCAAACGATTTTGAGCCATGTCATTCAGGGTCTCTAACCATCGGTTGCTGTCATCTCGCGGTCCCCAACCAGGTAGTCTACACCTACCAACATGACTCAGTTCACTTGTCAGTGACTTCATGGACTTGTGCCATGTTTTGGTTTGGCCGCCCCTAGCTTTCTTCCAACCTACTCCTATACCACTGAACATAGCACGTCGAGGCAGTCGGTCGTTGGGCATACGTAACACGTGTCCCAGCCATCTCAACTGATGAAGTTTCACTACTTCATCAATTGATTTGCCATCCTTACCTAGTACCCGTTTCCTAACAACTGTGTTACTTACTCGATGGTCCCATGATATATGAGCAATGTTTCGAAGACACCTATGATCAAATACTAGTAACCTACGGATATCCTCTACTCTTACCGGCCATGTTTCACTGCCATAAAGTAGGACGGAACGAACTGCTGCGCAGTAAACACGTCCTTTGGTTGATAGACGGATATCTCGCCTACGCCATAAATGACGCAAGTTGGCAAAAGCTAGTCGAGCCTTCTGTATCCGTGCTGAGATTTCGTCACACACTAAACCACAAGGGCTGATGAGACTTCCAAGATAAGTGAAGCGGTCGACACACTCAACTACTTCACTCCCTATCACTAGTTCGGGTGTCGATGTAACCCAATCCTGAAGCAACATTTTGCATTTCGAGGGAGAGAATCGCATCCCGAACATGCTTGCATTGTTGCTTAGAGTGGTCAGAAGACTCTGCATTTTGTCAGCGTCTTCACCAAATAAAACTATGTCATCAGCATATTCTAAGTCAACAAGTGAACCTCCTGGTAGAAGTTCAACCCCTGTAAATTTAGATGAGGAGAGTGTTATCTCTAAAAGTACGTCGACCACAAAGTTGAACAAGAATGGGGAGAGTGGACAGCCCTGACGAACACCACTTGAGGTAATCAATTCTGATGACAGTTCGCCATAAGCTCTCACTCGACCAGTTGTGTTCGAGTAGAGAGCCTTTATAAGGTTAATGTACTTCTTTGGTACTCCTTTCAGTGACAAACACTGCCATAGAACCTCACGATCAATCGAGTCGAATGCCGCCTTAAGGTCGAGAAATACTACCATTGTGGGGCGTCTGAATGTGTGTCTGTGTTCTAGAACCTGACGTAGTGTGAATATCTGATCTATACAACCACGTCCAGGTCGAAAACCAGCCTGGTTTTCTCTAGTCTGCTCTTCACGAGCTTTAGTTAGGCGTCGAAGTATTATTGAAGCTAATATTTTAGACACTATATTAGTCAAACTGATTCCTCTGTGATTGTCACAAGAGGACTTTTGTCCTTTCTTAAAAACTGGCACAATCAGTGATTGAGACCAGTCAGATGGGATTACGTCCAGTTCCCAAATTCTACCTAAGACCTCAGTTAATCTCATTGCTAATACTGGACCACCATCCTTAAAAATCTCAGGAGTAAACCTGTCAGGGCCTGCTGCTCTCCCTCGTTTCAGATTTCCTATGGCTTTTTCAACTTCGTAAAGGGACGGAGGACCTACATTAACTTGCCATTCAGGTTGACTGGAGATCGTGGGAAACCGAAGTGTGGCTGAAGGCCAGTTGAACTGATCCCTAAAGTGTTCTGCCCATCGATCCAATCTCCTGGATTGAGAATGAATAATATGTCCATCTTTCTCTGAGATTGTTTCGCTAACGGTCGGGTTCCTAATTCCGGTTTCCTTAACGAGTCTGAACAATTGTCTGCTATTACCTATTGCCGCTGCCTTTTCCATCTCTCTTGCTTTCGCTACCCACCACTGTTCGCGATCATTGCGTAGACTTCTTGTCAGCTTGCGCTTAAGCTGACTCCGCTCTTCATTATGTTCAGAGCCAGGTGGAATGTGTTTCCGAGCATCTATCAGTGAGATAGATGCTGCTGAGATCCAGTGTTGCTCCCTAACCTTCTGGTTTACCTTACTAGCAGATATCACTGCTGTTTCCACAGCTTTTCGGATATCATTCCATGCTGCATCGGGGTGGGCATCACATACATGGCTGCCTAACTGTTTTCCTAGTTGTTCCTGAAATATACTCTTAGCTTGACTATCATTAAGTAGGGCCCTAAGAGGTTTCCTTGCAGCGTCTTTCCTACGTCCAGTAAGACGCAAGCAAATACGCGCTCGCACTAGAGCATGATCTGAATCTAGGCATGTGCTCCAGAATGAGCGACAGTCTTCTATCGAGCCCCTCCATCGGTGGCTGATAGCGATGTGATCTATTTGGGTCCAACGTTGGGACGAATTAGGGGGTCGCCATGTTAAAAGATGTTTTTCCTTATGCTTAAAGTTAGTATTTGCAAGGAACAGGCGGTTATCTGAGCATAGCTGCAACAGACGGTCGCCATTATCTGTTCTTTGAGCCACGACACCATAAGATCCACCTAGGTGTCTTTCCTTATCACTTAGTTTACCTACTTGAGCATTAAAGTCACCGGCCACTATTACTACATCCGAGCGCCTAGCTTTTCGGAGAAGGTCCGAAAGCTTTCTGTAAAACTCATCTTTTACATCATCTGAGCTGCAGTCAGTGGGAGAATAGGCAGAGACGACGAAGAGGCAACGACGAGTGTCCCTATCTTTCCGGATTCTTACTGTTCCGTTCAGTCGGACAGCGCACAAACGACTGTCTACTGGGATCCACTCTAAGAGAGCTAGTTCTGCCCTAGGACTCAATGCTATACCTACGCCGGCGAGGCCACGGGAAGCAGAATCAGGGCTTCCAGATACACGAAGCGTAAATCGAGTCGGTTCTTTATTTTGGCATGGTGAGGTCAAATGAATGACGCTACTTGGATCCTGTATGCGCGTTTCGGAGACGCAGCACACATCGATGGCGCGAGATTCTAAAGTTTTAGCTAAGGAAGCCTGCTGTCCTATTTGGCAAAGTGTTCGTACGTTAAAAGCTCCTACGTGTAGTTTAGAGCGTGGTTTCAGGAGACCAGGAATGGCGTTCCACGTACTCGAATCGTTTGCCCTAGCGGTGCGAGGTGATAAAGAGACGTGAGGAGGGTTAGTCGGGAGGATAAGAGAAGTATTAGGAGGTGTAGGAAGGATTTGAATGTGACCACCTTGGTCTCTTGTGCTGTTACGGGTATGAGGGCTGATGTCACTTCCCGGCTGCCCACACCGTGGAAGGGTATTTCTTGAGGAACCTGAAAAGGAAATTGGATTAGTGTTGGTCTTGACGACCTGGGAGCGTGACCGCAGAGCCCAAGGGACAACTGCTTGAGGCCGGTCGCGCACGGCCTTTTTGTGGAAGGTTTTTGACGTGTTAGCTCCGTTCTTCAAGGGGCCTTACCGCCGGAGACGGAAATCCGTGAGGTAAGGTGAGGTGTGCATTTTTAGGGTCGACCTTTTCTAACCCCACCCCTCCTTGTGGGAAGGCAGCATCGCTGTCATGCTGGTTGTCCGAGGGAAACACCTTACTGCTGTCACACCTCTCTACAGTCAGCAGTACGACTTCGCCCTCAGACCTTGAGTTGCTGCTTTTAGTCTTACCGTTCGCCAATCGACCTGCCTGGCATGGTAGAACCTGCAGGAACATATGTTCCAGCCAATATAGCTCGGTTGGGTCATCACGATAGGCAAGCCCGATCACCGCGTCAAGGTAGCAGCTTCGATCGGGTAAAACTGAGAGCCAGTCGCGAAGAACAAAACGACAACTGCCTGAGGCCGAACACAAATATAACGTCCTTCCTTACTTTAGATGTTACCTATGCACCTACAAGCCACGACCGCCGGAGACGGAAATCCGTGAATCAATGCACGCTAATTTACAGACAAATTATTCGAGAACCCTTCGTCTACTGTGAGAATCATCATTTCAGAAAATGGTTGTCTAAGGGAAATCACATCAACGAAACAGCTACGGTTGAGATTTATATCACACACTCTTAGATGGAGAAATACTTAAACTTATAGGTTATCGAATATTACGGAGAAAGATACAAACGTTCGTTCCAGATTTCAAGAGCCCTGTTACGGATTTGAGCAATACTGCAGTGATCTTACAAAATCACAAGTCTACATTTATTATCCAAAACTGTAATTCAACATCAAATAAACGTAGTAAAAAAACAATAACATGAAAGTCAATTAACATCCGGTTCAGAAAGAAAGAAGAGTCGAAAACAAACAAGTGTAGCAGATTCATCAAACATAAAGAACTGTTGATCACCATGTATAATAGCGAGAAACCTCAAACTAATAAAACATTTTTTTGGGGACTAATCACCCTAATTAACAGTTGAAATGAAATTAATAGGACAGTCAGACGATAAAGTTAAATAGTGTTTGGAAGATACCCTCGACTTAGTTATTGGAATCTTCAGGTTTCATAGACCCTGCTCCAGTTGAGCCATCACCATTCTGGCCTGTGGAAGTATGTCTACCTTCTGCAATGTCACCTTGTTGATTTTGGCTGCTTCTCAGTACATTGATGCCTTCTTCACACTGAAAAAAAACAAGGAAATGTTTAATCAGTGTTGTAAACTAATCAATAATATTTGCCGACAAGAACAACCCAACATAACAAACTGACAATCTGTGTTCCCCAGCCATGTGAGACACTTGTTTACAGGTGAGTAGTTTAGATCAATTATCTTCTGAGCACTAATTTCATTTTACCTACAAACTAGTGAGAAACGTTTGTTCAAAAATTACTGCCCGCAAATTTTACTTGTTGAGTTAACGGTTCACACTTTACTGCTGAATTCCGTTTTAGTACCTAAGCATCTTCCCCCGCATGATAACGGCTTGGAAACCGAATGGATAGTACCTGTAGACTAAAGCAGTCACATTCCAAACTAATGTAAACGATTAGAAACAATAGGTCAATTGTTTGTTTATTAGCATAAAGAAGTTTTTAAAACGGTTTCACAAAAACTGCTAGTTTCACTTCAGTTAAATAAAGAGGTGTGAACTGATGCTGAACTAATGTCATAATTTACAACAAATGTGAAATATATTTTCACTTGTGAAAACAGTAAACGACAATACAATTAAAAAGTAAAAGCTGAAATACTTAACCATGAAATATACTAACTATAAAATTAGATACAATAATGCGAGAGCTAAAAGTGATATTAGATGAACACTGTTAAATAAAATATTTTGGTAATTATTACAGGAATAAAAGAATCTGAATAAGCTCTAAGATCTCAGGTTGAATAGGATAGTCTTTTCCGTAATTTACTATAGTTTGACAACTGCTTTAGACTATTACAAACATTTCTGTATCACCCTATTAGAGCACACAACTATGAAGCTTTAAGGGAAATATAGTAGACCAGTCAGGAAAAAAGAATATCCAAACGTTAAGGATCAAGAGCGGTGGGATAGGTGGGTAAGACACTTTGAAAGGCTCTTGAATGGATCGGACCTACTGAACCCACCGCGCATCAAAGCAACACACATAGTCAGATATGGTGGTAACTCAAAAGACATCCAACGTTTTCTCGAGAAAAATTTGGGAAGAGGAACAAGTACCAACAGACTAGAAAGCACCTCGTCAAGATACCAGAGAAAGGAGATTTTACAAAGTGCGACAACTTCAGACAGCTTACTACTATCGGTCCCAGGTAGAGTACTGCTGAAAAAACGAAGGGTTCAAAAAAAAGCTCAACTTTGGAATCAGCAAACTGGGTTACGTATGAATCGACGATGTACAAATCAAATGGCGACACTTTGGACCATTGTTGAACAAGCAATCGAGTGGAACTAGTCACTACATATCAACTACCTTGGTTATGAAACGGATCGACAGCGTGGATAGGAGGACCTTATGGAATCTTCGACACCACAGGAGATCGTCACTAGCATACGGAACTCCTACGAGGGAATGGACAGCAAAGTCGTGAATAGAGAGCAACTCACAAATAAATTCCAAGTGAAAACTGATGTCAGACAAGGTTGTCTGCTCTTTTTTTATTTCAGCTCTCAACTAGATTATGAAGACCCCCATATCTCAAGGAAAGCACGGAATATCGCGGACAACATGGATGCAACTAAACGAGTTAGATTTCGCAGATGAACCAGCTTCTCTATCCCATACACAGCAACAAATGTAGGTGGAAACAGTCAGCGTAGTAACAGCAGGTCTCAAACACTCAAAAGAGAAGGATTCCGAAGAGCAACACAACCGGCAGCCACCAAGTCATATTTGATATCTAAGCACTGAGAGAGGTGGAAGCCTTTACGTACCTATCCAGCATCATCAAGAACTGACCTTGTGTAAATGTCATGGTACAAACTAAAAAAGCAAGGACGACACCTCTACAACTGAAGGATATGTAGAACTGTCCACTGAAATAAAAGTTGGTTTTCAAAACTGACGTTAAAACAGCACTGCTTTAGAGCTTAAACTTAAAGAATTGCCATCAATATCACTAAAAAGTAGTTATACATATACTGTTTACACAAGATGAACCATTGTTAATAACTCAATCTAGGAGACAAACCAGCTGAGGAAATTTAGGAGAAACATCGGAGGTGAGTAGGATACGTTTTATGGAAACCTTCAAGTCGCGTCACATGTCTAGACCTAATTTGAAGTCCCCAACACCAGAGGAAAAGATGCAGAACGAAGAGCACATGGCACTGCGAAGTGAATCAACAAATTGAAATGAATATTAGTTGGCGACGACTAGAAAAGAGCCCAAGATAGAGGTTAGCGGCCTGAGTCAAAGGAGATTGTAAGTTTGGTTAAAAAACGTATCCGTATACCATGACGCTGATAAAACTGTCTACTGGACCCCCAGGTGTCGTTTTAAAATGTTCGGGATTCTTTCTTCCTCATAAACTGTATTTAAGCGCAACCTGTTGCTTGAGAATTAACCATCGCTTGTGGAATAGGTGATAGATCTAGTATAGTTTAGTGAGCAGCAGTTCGCTTTGTGGCTACTATACATGGTCGTCGACGATAGAGGTAATGTACAGGTTTCTTGTACTTCATCATGTCTTAGAAATATTGCTTATGTGTGGTGATATAGCCGGGTAAATAATATTGAACAGACGTTTAGAGACAAGAAATGTCGGCAAAGACAGTTAATTTATTCCTGAATTCAAACTTCTTCGTTTTAAACCAACAACTCATACTGTTCGTTCAAAAATAAGGGATTCAACTTTATGAAACAATGACTTTCAAGTGATATTCGTTAAAGATTGGGTACTGATATACTTTATTTCTTACCCCATAATCACTATTGAACTTTCCCTTTGGTCGATCGTTTTTGTTATGATATTTCTAAGTAAGAATTTGATACTTTATGCTATGCTTTCTTCACTTAAATAAATAGATTGAATATGTGAACTAAAGTAATATATCATTTGGGTTTCTGATCAACTTGGAAAACCATTATCACTGTGTATGAATAAACAAAATATCTTACCTTGGCGCGTAGCAGATCTTCAGATTCTAAAAGATTTATAACCTCTGCGTTATCCACTCCTAAAAGCATTCCCGTAAGCTTGTTGGCTAAGTTGGGATACATTGCCTTGATACGTGGATAAGATGTTCCCCGAGCGTCCTTTTCTGATCCTCTTCTGACAGTTGAGCCAATGCGCTTATTGTTAGTTGCCCTGATCGCCAAGGGGTTGTAAGAGTGTAGACATACTTCCAGCTGGGACAAGCGTAGGTTGAGCTGAGACATTGCGAGCTGTTTGATGGAACCTAACATTTGTTGCAGTATTTGTTATGTTCGACATACCAGAATGCATTACGGCTCTTGGAACTTGCGAGGCTACCTGTTGCTTTAAGGAGAGTAGAAATGATTTTATTATAACGAAATACGAACAAAATAAACACTAACAACTGTCAACCAACGAATCAATCGATAGCCAAAAAAATTTTGTTCATATGAAGGGACCACTAGACTCAAACCTAATTTTTTGACCTTACTATTGCGTTGTGAGCCATACGATATACAAATCATGTTTACTAATACATGTGAATATATTCCTATCGAAGAAACATTCCAAAGACGTACACACTAAAGATTGAACATCTCAACTACGATAGTCCAAAAGACCGGGAAGAGTATAAACGAATTACGAATTGTGAAACACAAGCTGAAACGAATAGCACTTTTCCCAACTTTACATACAAAACCAAGTGACTTTTAGAACCCAGCTACACACCTGATCATTCAGAGTAATGAGATAAATTTAAGGCGTCATTCGTGGAAAGACTCGACTACACATAACGTTCGATTTGAATAATTCAAAAAATCATAGATCCGATCCCTAGCTTTATTTTCTTAATAACTTGAGTGCTAACCAATGTTTAGTTACGGAGCCACTCAAATGGGCTTCGGATCTGTTACACAAATGTATTCGCACATAAACCAAAGGGCTAAGAGAAGAGGGAATATTCCAGCACTATTGGGAGACAGTAATAATTCATCATTAGTGAAGGACGACTACGGTAAAGCTATGTATTTTCAAACTACTTTAGCAATGTATAGACCGTAGATACCCCGTTACTTCATACAAATCCCACACACGCGCACAATGTGACCATCAAAGAACTCGATGTCTTTGGTCTACTAAATAAGGTTGATATAGGCAAATCCACGGAACACGACTGAATGCACCCTAGGTTACTAAAGGAACCAGCTAACTTCGTTGCGAACCCCTTAATCGTATGTTTTAACCTATCTGTAACCCAAAGTCGATTACCGAAAGACTGAAAGGACTCCATAATAAGTCCTGTCTTCAAACAAGCACGAAACAAAAACCTGAGAACTACCAACCCGTTAGCCTAACCAGCGTGGTTGTTAAAATTTCAGAACAAATTTTTCGGAAGCTGTTTACTTATCTCGATGAAAACCCCATTTTCCCGGAAAAGCAGCATGGCTTTAGAGTAGGTTATTCATGTCTCACTAACTTATTAGTGACTCATGAAAGCTGGTGCGCTTTTAAAGACCAAAGTTACGTAGAGACGTAGCCAACATTGATTTCAGCAAAGCTTTTGACAATGTTCCTCACAAGCGGCTGTTATATATGTTAAGAAATATCGGGGTTGGAGGCAATCTATTAATGTAGATAAAAGACTTCCTTGTTGTGCAGCAACAAAGAGTTCGGGTGAACTTCAAGTTGTCTGGCTGGGAAACTGTATTTAGCTGAATGCCTCAGGGTACAGTTTTGGGGCTATTCTCTTGTTATTCCTCTTGTACATAAATGATCCTCGTCTCCTATCATCATCGGTCTTGCTATATGCTGACGATGTCAAGATATTGAAAGCGATAAAAAGTAAAGGTGATAGTTTAGAGATTTAGAATGACCTGAAGAAATTATGTGGTCTCAAACTTGGCAGTTGCCGATAAATACTACTACACACGGTAAATAACAATGATCTACCTGTTGTTCAGACACAATGAATCATCGTTAGCCAAGACTAAGAACTACTACACACTACTGTTCAACAGCCGACACAGGTTTAGAACCCTATGGTCAATACGTAGCGCCCTTAGACATGTCGATGCAAAAATGTTTTTAACTTTGTATACAGTATTGGTGAGTCCTAAATTTGAATACTGCATACAAGCGGCTAGCCCCTGTTTGAAAACAGCGAGTTTTGGAAAACGTTCGGAGCTACAACTAAGCAAAGCTCCCGTATGATGCCCGACTGGCTAAGCTAAACTTATTTCCATTGTCATGTCGAAGAACCAGAGGTGCTTTGATTAGTTTTCAAACTACCTAGTGGTAAATTTGTATCTGATATGCTCTCGCTCTTTAGTCTTCCAAAACAGAATTCACGATGACTCTAAAAAGGTCCACAAACCGTGGACAAATTACTTGTTAACTGATTACCAACTTTCCCATCGAATCACGAACGAATAGGATTCATTACATCAACACGTAATTGAAACTCCACTTGTCAACTCTTGCAAGAGAAAGTTGGGTCAATTGAGAGTATACCAGCACCGCGACTAATATAGGTCACTAAGCCTCCTGTCCTCTCCAAACTGAAACTGAGTAAATCGAACACTCTCGAAGCGACAAGTTTCATGGATTAGTAATAAACATAACTGCATAATCCAGGTGACTGGATACTTTTTGGTTCAAAATAGTTGCAAAGGAAAACAACTCTAGATAGTGTCTACGAATAAATAATAAGTAACAAACACAATATGGACTGAACATCCGTCATAGGATGGATGACACGCTAAATATCGTAGTGTTAAGCGATGTGATACGTACAATCATACAAGTATCCGGATTTTGTGTGAAACAAATGGCACCGCACAGCTTATTAACTGGCTGAATGATAACAAGGCATGACTCATGACAGCCCACAGAAAACCTCGTTGCTAACTGGAACTCATATTTTAATTGGAACTACAACCAGTACAACTGAGTGCCAAGTTAAAGTCTCACAGACAATAACCACGAAAGTAATTCAATGGAAGCTTAACAGAGAAACAAACTTACTCGCATGGCAGGATTAGCAGATGGTGGACCCGCAACCACTGAGGCTGCAGTTGGACGTTGATTCAAACCACCAGCCGTAGCCCCGAGCACTTGAGGAACGACCACACCCTGTCTCCCAGATGCTTGTTGTCTCTGTTGATTGGCAGTCTGGTTAAAAACAGCTGCAGTTTGTAAGTGAGTTGAGGGGATAGATGACATGCCGTTGGGTACCATAGGTCTGTTAACACCTGGTGTGCGGAACTGAGCGAAAGAAGCCATTTGGTTAGCTGTAATAGCAGCAGGATTGGGCGCACCAGCATAATAACCAGCAACGGGTGGTCTGTTTGGAAGGCCACCGATTTGTGCAGGTATTCCGGCCGCTCGATTCCAACGAGGCTGTGAACTAAGGACAGCACCCGAAGGGTGATAAAACCGTTGAGCCTGCTGAAATGCAGGGGGAAAGTAGCTATGCGGTGCTGCGTGGCCAGGAACTGCTGGGATCATTGAGGCGACCGGATTCCGGTACTGAGCCAATCGCTGTTGATGTTCTTCAATCAACTTTGCCCGACGATCTTCTTTTCTCTGAGCTAGTGCGACATATAGGGGTTTTGAACCTATGATTGTCCCGTTCATATCAGTTACTGCTCTGGCCGCTTGTTCAGGGTTCGCAAAACAAACGAATCCAAAACCCTTAGACCGATTATTCGCATCCTTCATGACCTTGGCACTAGTGATAGAACCATGAACACTAAAAGCCTCCTCTAGTCGTTTATCATCAATATTATCATCCAAGTTCTTGACATACAAATTGACGTTCAACATATAGCTGGACTGACGTTCGGCCCGCTGTTTTTCAAGTCTCTGTTTTAGCTCCTCTTGTCGTTCTTCTTTGCGTTGAGCTCGAGCACAGTACAGAGCTCTCCCCTCTACCTCTTTACCATGCATAGTTTTGACCGCATTTTCGGCGTGGTCGGGGTCTAAGAAACACACAAAACCAAACCCTTTTGATTTTCCTTCGCTATCTTTCATGACGCAAGCACTTTTGATTTCTCCAAACTCAGAAAACATTTCTTTTAGCTTCTCGTTATCTGTTTCTGGTGGGAAGTTTTTGATGTAAAGGTTGTTGAATTTGACTTTTCGAGCTTGAGACTTGCGTTCTGTCTTGGGAATAAATTTGCCAACATAAACAACACGGTCTCGAATGATCATATTGTTAATCTTCTCAATGGCACGTTCGGCACATTCCTCTTTTTCGAAATGTACGAAACCATACCCTTTAGACTGTCCATTTTCATCCATAACAATCTATAGAGAATGTTTAAAAAATTAACAGGACCTACTTTGCACGATAAGATCCGACCGAAAAAGCTAAAAGTGTCATACAGTTCCTTCTGTTCGATGGATTTATCCAGGTTTTTGATAAATATATTTCCTTTTCCAGATTTTCTTAAAGATGGGTCTCTCTGTGACCACATAATTCTGATAGGCCTTCCCATTAGTGATTCATAATTTAAGACTTCCAGCGCTTGTTCAGCTGCAAAGTCACATACTGTAACTGGACTTACCATGCTTTGGATCTTCGAAATTAACATATCCATACCCGAGAGAATGACGAGTGGCTAGGTCCCGGCACACACGAGCACTAAGGACTGGACCGATTTCAGAAAATTTTGCTTGCAACGCGGAATCAGAAACTCTTGGGTGTAGATCCCCGACATAAAGAGATGAATTCATCAACCCTTGACCCGCTGCACTAACAGCCATATTTTTGTGGTTTTCTATGTTTTATACTTTTTTATGGTTTTATCTATTTTTTTGAAAATTTTCAGCGTGCTGCCCAGCGAGCTGCACACTAACTTAAATTTCCCGGACAGTGATAGGATGTGGCGAAATGTACATAACAATGTGAGACGATGTATTAGGACTTGTTGATTGAATAAGCTTGGAGCATAAAAAGTACGTTACGGTGACATTTGAACATATCAAAAATACGGAAGCAACTTATTTGAATAAAAACCCTGACACTGTCATATACGGATTGGCAGTTAAACATATGACATGTAGGATTTAAAGAAACATTGGGGACCATGCATGTTTTTTATCGCTCTGCCGTAAAAAAGTGGCGAACCCAGAGTTTCAGTAGCAAGGATAGGGGAACCTGCTGGAATGGCTAACTTCGTTTAATAAACAATATTACAGGCATTCAATAGTGATACTGACTTTGTTCGTTTTAACTAACACTACTAGATGAAAACACAACGTCAAGCGACGCCACTGGACCACGATGCAACCGTGAATTTCATATTTAATTGTGATTTCTTTGCACATTACTGCAAGCTTCTAAAAATGAGTAATACAGTATGTCCAGTTGGGTTGTTCGAGTTTTCGCTGATTTATGCTAGGAGTTCCTAGTTAGTATATTATTTTGCATATTTCTGAATATCAGAACAAATCGACGTGTTGTACGCTAGACCTAATTCTCTTAATTCCATCTCTACCTGGGGAAAGCGATCATGTGATCATGGCCTTCATTTTATCGCCGCAAGTGAGCTATAAAATGCCACCAACAATTGGCTTTGAAATTTCGAAAGGTTTGGTGTGTCAACATTACAGAACAACATATAGCAGGCGGACTGGAAAATTAATCCTTAACTTAACTTTGACGCTTGATTGGATTTCTTACTGCACGCGATCTTACGTGCTACGAAACAATCCGTTTCGGAAATGACCCCCGAAAACTGAAAGTAAAGTAGAGTCATAAAGATTCGCACTCTTTGAATGCTAAGAATCGGAAGGGACTAGTGTGCGGAATACAAACGAACTAGTGACGACAGCACATATAGTCAGTTCAAACAAGCAATGAGCCAATGTGCAGAGGCGATAAAAGTTAGAATCCACTATCAGGTAAAGCTGGGTGATAAGTTTGTCCCCTGTCCGAAGAACATCTTACGTAATGGAGTCTCTCTTCAACAAGACGAGACCAGGGCATCCCAGTTATTACGTTCTAATGGCCCAAAAGACAACAGTGGTGGTGTCACCAAGCCTCCTAGAGAACAGCATTTTCAAACATCACAACCGTCACGGATAACCTAAATCGACGAGAGCTTCACCGGTAACTCAAAAGGATGCTCAGAAGCGAATGTAAGCGCTGATTAAGGGTATCAGAAGCTTCAGCATCTAAAGAAGGACAAATTTTCCAGCCCGGATACGAATAATTATGTCATACTGCGAGGAGCGTCTTGTTTCTTGACAACATTTTTTAGTGTAATGTTCTCAGATTCTCTAAGCCGAGACATGGTCCCAAATAGTTAGGAGTTGGTGCAGAATACACCAATTTTCAAATTTTGCTGACGCAGTGAACTTCAAGAATATATGCCGGTAGCACTTCCCTTGATACCTTCAAAAGTTATGGAGAACTTGATATGAGATGGTATACAAGACTACCTGTTACCTGTGAGATTCTTGTCACCATAGCGGTACGGTTTCGGGAAGGAACATATCTGTAATAAAATACTGACCGCGGCACACAGATTTACAACCATCCTTGATCGCAAGGCAAAGTATGATGCCAGATAACATGACTTCTAAAAAGGTTTTGATGGACCTAATTTTGTGCCTGATCTACATGAATGATATACCCAGTTCGTCTGTTTTCACGCTTTTAACCTCTAGGTTCATTCAGTAAAAATCTTGCAGTATTCTAGTCCACAAATGGCTGAACGTCTGGTGGTTTACAACCAGTTCGATCTGAATAGCTAACTATAAAAATGTAGACAAATTAAGTGCTATAAATTACAGAAACAATTATTTGGATTTTAAGTTAATTTAGTTTTAAGGTTACAAGCTTGCCCGATTTCTAACACTATGAAACGCATCTAGACTGTTCAGGATTTTGAGATCATTTATTTAGGTAATCTGTACCAAGGATTTCGGTCTACTAGAGTTAAATGTGAATAGTATGACCTACTAGCTTACGTTGAAGTCACACCTCACGGTCAATATCTAACGTTGATCGGCCTTTCGTGACATCCATGGAAATCGACTTCCTGAGTGGCTGGTTTGGAAAAACACTTTCAATAGACAACAAAATGTATTAGTATTATTGGATTACAAAAGTACAATTAAAAAGCACTCCCTAAATAATTCTGTGCAGTCTCATTTGAGGTTGGAAACATTAAGTTCTTTTCCATTTGCCGAAACGATCAGTAGCATTCAAGCCGGTCTACGATAACAGCGCAAACAGACAACGTTAACTAAAATTTTTGCACATGTACAGCATAAGGACAAATATCGGAAGCACCACTTATAAAGTGGAAAGTAAGTGGTGGCATATCCACCTACTATTTCAACTGTGCAGCTAAGTTCTTAACTTCACGATAAGTAAACGACCGTTCTAAAATCACGACTTTCAATGAGAAATGTAACCCAACATGAAATGCTTATTTGGCATACTTACTATGTAGGCAAATGAAAAGGCGTAAATGGTACAAAACACTTGAACTGTTACCAGCTGTTTTGAACTCATTAACGACTCATCAACATTATATCGGTTAAATAATGACAGTTTTTAGCACTGTCAAATTTCATTGTCCGAACTTAGCAATCAAGAAATATACCGATTATAAGTTGTTTAACTATCAAAATGAACCCCGCCGATCGACTTACTTACGTCTGTTACCCCTCATGGAGGAGCCTGGGCCGCCCACCAACATTCTTCAAACTCTGTCCCGGGCAATCCTTTCCAGTTTCTGTTCACCCTTTTCACGTTTGCTTTCGATTCCCGACGCACTGTGTTCTTTTCCGTCCACTTTCCGCTTCCTCTTCAGGATGCCGAGCTAGTGCTTGCCATGTGATGCAGTTTGATGGTTTCTTCAGTATGTGTCCTATCCAATTCCAACGTTTTATCCTAATTTCCCTCTCAACTGGAAGCTGGTTTGTTATCTCCCACAATAGGCTGTTGCTGATTGTATCCGACCAACAGAAATTGAGTATCTTCTGTAGACAGCCGTTCATAAATACTTGTACTTTTTTGATGATGGTTATGGTAGTACCCTATGTTTCAGCTCTGTACGAGAGAGATGTCTTGACGTTCATATTGAAGATTCTGACTTTCATGTTGGTTGACAGTTGTTTGGAGTTCCATATGTTTGAAGAGATATGGCCTACTTGGTTATTAGTACTGCTCTAATAATAGAGCTAATTCTTAAGTTGTAGATTTGTCATGTTGTAACTATGGAGTCTATAAGATCTTGCCTAAAAGTCACATCATTGTCTACACTGACTCATCGTATCGTAACGATTACCAACATATGGTGGAGGACACATTCAGGTTGGAAATAGAACGATGTATTTATTGTGAGTAAAAGCAAGTTATACGGAGCGACCTCGCCTGCGAGGCTGAGCCATGCCACCCGATTGGATTCGATTGAATTCCTCCTACCCACCTTCTCCACCGTTGGGTTTTTCTCCGCGTTAAATGCTGAATATCTATTTTCGCAGCTGTTTCGTGTTCAGCTTTGAGGATTGTGTGTTTAGGGCCCAGTGCCACTACATGTACTTCGATTGTAAGAACACGTCCCTTGTTTTGTCAACCCTCACCTTTACGTCTGCATCAGATCCTTCTTGTTCACCAATGATGTTTTCCAGGTACGTGAAATATTCCACCTCTTCCAGAGTTTCTCTATCAATCGTGATTAGGATGGTGTTCTATGTGTTGTGTTTGAGGATCTTACTTTCTTTCTTGTGTAGGTTGAGGTCTAATGATGCAAATGCTGATGCTACACCCGTTCTCTTCATCTGCATATGTTCTTGTGTATGGGATAGAATAGTTAGATCAACTGTGAAGTCCAAATCATCTAGTTGATTCCAAGTTGTTCAGTGTATTCCATCCTTCCCGTCAGATGTTGAGGTCTTCATGATTCGGTCGACCACCAGAAGAAAAAGAAAGTAAGAGTGTAAACAACCTTGTCTAACTCTGGTCCTCATTTGGAATGTGTCTGCCAGTTGTACTCTATGTAAGAATTTGAGGTGTAGTCCAGCGTATGACTCCGGGTGTTGTTGACGATCTTCCCTGGCAAACCATATTGCTCAAGAAAGTTCCACAAAGTCCTTCCATCCACACTGTCAAACACCTTCTCATAGTGAAGGAAGTTGATATATAATGACAAACTCCATTCAACTTGTTGTTCAACGACGATCCGTAGTGTCGCAGTTTGGTCTGTGTACGACCGGTCTGCTGATCTTGAGATTGGGTGTCTACTGAACCTTTCATCTGGTTCAGCAACATTTTGTGGAAACCTTTCCTGGTATTGATAGTAGTGTGATTCCTCTGCAGTTCTCACGTTTGCTCATATTCCTTTTTTTGGTATTTTGATGAGATGTCCTTCTTTCCAGTTCATCGGCACTTGTTCTTGCATCCAAATTTCTCTGAATAGGGTGTAAAGCATACTTGAAGACGCTTCTGTGTCTGACTTCGGTGCTTCGGCTGGTATATTGTCAGGTTATACGTTTTTGGCAGCAGTTGGAATTCGTATATTATCCAAAGGTTTCTGGTCTTCAGGCTCATCTCGATCTACAGAGTGATCTGTCGGTTGTGGAGTGACATCATGCTTATTTTTCATGCGCTTTAAAATATTTACTGTGTTGCGAACTGTCTCTAGCTGGTTATTTGTTGTAACTATTATCAACTCCATCGCTTCACGTCTTCTAGCACGCTGATAGGGCGTTAGGTCTGTAATGACTTTTATACTCTTGTATGGAGTTAA